TTGTACTTTCTCATTGCAAAGATCCAAAATATTGATAAAATCAATAATCCAAATAAAACTCCCAATAATATCCATCTATATCTCATCCACAAATTAGCTTTTAAATAGAAAATTATGTTTATTAGTATATGAATGAACTAAAGTCCTTTTTGTTTTTTTTAAAAAAAAGAAAGGAAAAGAAAAATAAAAATAAAAATAAAAAACTTCTTACGAGTTTGATGGGTTCCATAATAGGACTCTAAATCGTTTGTATGGTCTTCTCTTGATATAAGCGAAATATCTTTTGAACCGATCGATTCATTCAAAGCAGTTATTAAATTAAATGACCTTAGTTCATCTGGTGCTTTTGATTCTTTAACATCTACGCGCAATAATATTTGATCTGGTAAATTTTGATAATATTGATATCTATCATTTGGTATAGAAATACGACCGGCTTCACATGCAAGCACTTTCGTAATTTCAGTAGACATATCATTAACATATTTCGCTTTATCAGCTTTGTTTGATTTTATAAATTTTTCAGTTCCTTTTACTGTCAATAGAACGGACGCTTTCTTATCACCTATAAGAAAATAAACAAATTAAACAATCAATAAAGGTTCTCAATTTTAAAGTTGTGAGATATAATTTTGAGTGAATTAATTTACCTGAAGTCTTATCAGATACGCCATCATTTTCTAAATTAAAAAAATTCAAGTTAGCCCAAATGATTAAAATCCAACCTTTCTTAAATACTAAATTACTTACCCGTACTAACTATCCAAGCACCTTTTCTAATACCAACAAGATTTTGTTCACTAGCTCTAACAGCGGCATTATCAACAATAATTTCATAAGCAGTATTTCTTTTATTAAAGGTAAAATTTGCTACTTTAACTATCATTTCATTTCCAACTATTGTAACATAATTTGGATCATTTGTATGCACTATTTGTTTAAGGATAGGATCATCACCCTTTTCATTTATTTGATAAAATGAAACGGTTCCAGTTGATGGTTCAATAACTGGTTTGTATATGATCGTAACTTCTTTAATATTTGTTGATATTACTGCATTTTTTTCTGGTACTGTATTATCTACTGTTGATGAACCATATCCTCCTGGTCCACCAAATGGTCCTTGTCCATTTCCTCCCTCAACTAAAAAAAGAAAAAGAATTATAAAAAAAAAATTTTGTTTTTATAAAAAAAAAAATATAACTATTAATTTACTTGTTGTGTATGATGTAAGAGCGGTTGATATAACACAAGTCCATTCATATGCTGTATTCGTATCAGCAATAGCCCAAACGGTATTATCAGTATTCACACCAAATTCCGAACTATATGTATAAGTCGTAGGCAATCCCCAAGTTTTACCAAAAGTACCATTATTACTATAAGCGAACCCTTGTATATTGTCATCTTGTGTAGTAGCGATAATACAAAATCCACCATAATAGAGTGTTTCGATATCAACCACCTCGCTATCGGCAAGTAATTGTTCCGCTTCAAATTCAAATGTATTTAATATAGCTCCTGACGATACAAAATCTATATCTAGGAATTTTTTCCCCGCAGGTGTGATATAATGTATTATACAACTATATCCGAACATTTGATATGCTATATTACATCTCTTTATTTCTAATGTTGTAACTGTTTCTGTTGTTTGTTTATAAAGTTCAAATGGTCCCTTATGTTCATTACCATCTATTGGTATAAAATATACCGATATCGTCCATGGTGGTAAATATGTTTCTTCCACTTTACTATTATAATCTCCTACTACTATCGAATACCCTCCATCTTCAGTTCCAAATATATGTGTTAAATTAGAGGAAAATTTTGTGATATTCATTATTAATCCACTGTTCTTTTCTATTACCGTATTATTTTCGATATTTCTGTAGGTCAAGATAAAGGGAAAAAAAATTTGTTAAATATAACGCTTCGCGTAAGATGGATATTATTGGGAGTTTTATTTGGATTATTGATTTTATCAATATTTTGGATCTTTGCAATGAGAAAGTACAA